GCCACTTCTCTGCTGCGTAGCAGAGCGCAGGGAGAACAGTTGAATCGAACAGGTGGGCTCGGAGCTCTGGTCTATCAGATGTTCTGTGGCTTTTCTCAGGGGCTCAAAAGCGGCCCAAGCTGCTTTTTGTCTCCTGTTTAGTATTTCTTTCAAATCGTTCTCAATGTTCATCCAACGCCCGAGTTATAAGAAGGCGATCCCAGTGAATAGAATTAGAAGGCTTTCCGCGACTGGCCTTCTAATTCTATTCCCTGGTTCTCGCAGAAAGCGTTCCTCATAAACTGAGTCTTCCTGATTGATTCGCAGTCCTATCCGCTTCCCTACTTCGAGTTCTTTCAACGTCGTCTCCACTTCAGTGATATTCCTCGAGAAGAGGACAGTGTTGTCCGCAAAACGAAGGTTTGAGAGAAATGTTCATCAACTCGTATACCTCTCTCGTTCCAAGCCAGTAATTTCAACACCCACTGCAGAGCGGCAGTAAACAGCTTTGGCGACACAGTTCGCCTTGTCGAAGCCCCTTTAAAATTGGTATGTTAAGAGGCAGATGTAAAAGCTTTACCGTTGCTGAGCAGTTCTTGTAGTAATCGGCCAATATCCTCCTAGTCGATGAAGGTTGCGAGAGGTAGGCGGTACTCTCTGCAAACCCTCGAAATCTTCGAAACCGTCTGCATGTGATTCACTCAGCTGACCCTTGCGAAATCCAGCTTGCTGTACAGGTTGGGCTCCATTCCAGTGTCTTTGATATGCTAGCGAGAACAATGTTCGTAAAGAGTTTGTAAAGCACGCCCAGGCATGTAGGACGGTATTTGCAAAAATCCTCCCTATCGCCCTTCTTCTCCAATGATGGGGTTTTATATCCATTCGAAGGTAAGACGTTAGATGTTGATGTTCCGCAAGTATTTCTAGGCGATGTCCTCCAACTCGTAAGAGGATGGCCGCGTGTTCTCAGGGCCGTGGCGCGCACTTTCGAAGGTCTTCCTGCAAAGCTGTTCTGCAACTGATATTGGCTACCAGTCGCTTAGGAAGTGATGCAGTGGGATCCAGCCTCAGTGCTCTACCTTTCTCAAGCAGATCCCTGGTGGCTTTCAAAATTCGTTCCAAGTTCCTTGTTCCAAACATAAAGGCACTTTTACTGCAGGCTTCGGTTCTTTGAAAAGCAGGGCGTAGTCCTGCGTTGGGTCCTCCTCGATGGGCCTGTCGCGAGTGGTTACAAGCTCCTACAGTTTTACGCCGTCATATACGTTCTTTTCTTTCTCCGACATGGCGACAGATCTTCTTTGCCATTGGTTGCACTTTAGCTCGAAGCAGACGGTGATCTGAATCACTGCTGAAGGTTGGTACCACTGGACGACCACCAGCACCACCTTCCGTTGGTGATGTAGTCGATCTCCGCATGTGTCGTACCGTTAGGCAATTCCCTTGTCCACCGCCGCTTTTCTTTCTTCATGAAAATTCATTTGCTTGAGAAAGTCGTGCGGCGGATAAGAGCCCAACAAGACGGTTACCATTTTCATTCCAAAGTCCTGACCCGAACCTCCCGATCCTATCCTCCCATTCTTCTGGCGGCATCGCGATTTTCGCGGTGTTGACCTCGGTCGGAATTTTTTGTTGCAGACAAATAGCACTCGCGCATCAATCGGAGGAACAGATTATACATCTAAGCGGTTACGGGAGGTTCATATAGAGCGTG